CTCTGGGTGCTTTAAAACGGGGACGCGGTGCAGCCCTGTCCTCTCCCGTCCTGCCGCCCCCTTCACCTGCTGTCCCAGAGCGTGTGGCGCGACCTGCAGCAGGGCAAGGCCTGTAGCCTGCCCTGCGCCTGCTGTCATCCTCCCTGGCAGAAAGGGACGAGTGCCCCACAGGGTTGGTTGTTGGCTGAAGTTCTGAAAAATAACTGAGGTGAATTTAATTGATCTTGGGAGTCTGTCACGGAGACCTCATGCTCATGCTTGGGGCAGCCCGGAAGGAGCCACAAGGTGGGACACCAGGCAGCTTGTGTGTACTGTGAATTTTGCATTAAACAGTCACCTGATAAAAGAGCCCAGAAATCGGGGGGCAGAGCCCAGAACCACGGCTCTTTCAGCTCAAGCCCTTGCCCCTGACAAGGCAGCCTTTGTTAATTTTGCATTGTTTGCTACTTGGTGGCACTGCATCAACAGAAATGGTGAAGATTTCTTTTCTTCCAGCATGGATCTGGCAGTTGAGACGCTCGTCTGCCTTGGCAAGGCAGGGATCCAGGCAGGGAAAGGGTGTACCTGCTTCTCAGCGAGTGGCCTATCCATACGCTCAAAGGCTTTTACACCTTTTCAACCTGTGTTGATAAAGTTTCCCTAAACTTTTTCTTTTAAAGTTCCCAGTGAAGGAGGGTCCCGTGTCATGAATTTAAGCGTGCTCTGGAGGTAGGTTTGCTTTTGCTAGTTGTCTCACAGGCACATCTGTCTACAGGTTGAGAACCACCATCCTCTAACACCAAAAAGATGGCCACTATCTCATCTTTAAAAATGGCTTCTGTGTCCTGTAGTCAGCGTTTTTAATCTGTGCTGTAGTCCGGATTAGACTATACAGGCAAAATGTGCAGGCAACTATAGATGTAACAGGGCTGTGGGCACTTAATGTAATGTCCTGATGCTGATGATTCCTTCAGATTCCTGGGAGTTAGCAGGAGTTTTATGGGTCACTATTCAACCTGAGAACATAAGAAATGCTGTAACAGGGCATACCAAACATCTAGCCCAGTGGACCAGGCAAGAGCAGAAGAGTAAGGCAAGTGCATGGTAATCCTTCCCTGGCTCACCTTCCCAGCCTCCAGAGTGCTGCAGCCTAGGAATTTCTGAAGTCAGCTGTGTTGGTAGATGTGGGTGCCTGCGCTTTGTCAGATCCCCAGTTTGAAGACATCGGGTGAGGGATTTAGTGTCCTATTTGGGAAATGTGAAATAGCACTGTAACTGTAGTATGTGAGCTGTGCTGTGTAATGCTAGTCCAGCAAATACAAAGTCACTATGGAGACACGTCACTAGATAGTGAGCTGGGACTAACTGTGAGGACTGCAGCAGCCAGGGAAACAGAGAAGCTGCAGTTTATCTTTCTTCTAGCAAGGAGCCTGAAAGAGACAGGGGAAACACTTCATGTGAAACCAAGAAATGAGAGACAGGAGGTGCCTCCCAGGTAGCCAGAGGTCAGCTCTAATTCCTCTATTATAAGCCTCCAGGAGCACAGAGGTTACAAAAAAATAAAGCAACTCTTGGAGAAGAGCTTTTCCAAGAGGAAAGGAGTGCTAGAGATCCAGCCAGAGTGGCAACCAAAGATGTGGTGCTATCACAATTACTTTAAATCATTTGAGCTTAAGTCTGCCACGAGTCCTATGTTCTTGGTTCCTCCCCTGTGTTGGTGTTAGTGTTTGTAAAGGATGGATTTGCCTGAAAATTTATGAGGGAAAAGGAAGTTTTCCTTGATAGACAGATGTCCTGAAAAGACAGATCAGTTCCTCGATCCAGCTAGTCCTGTGTCCCCAGGAGCACTACTGTTGGCACAATGTGGTAACAAGGATGTGTAGCTAAGACTGTGGAACCGTGCTTTCAATAGAAACCCATGCTTAGACTGGAAATATCAGAGTGGTATGAGACTATAACGTCTGTCACCATATTAAGATCACCTTGACTATCTGATGTCACATCACATCAATTCCCACCAATCTGTCAGAGGGCTCTTAAGTACAGAAGTGGGATCTTAACATCTGCTTCATATGAAAAAGGCTGGTACACATTGGCATTTCATAGCACCTTTTTGGCAAAAAGACAAACTGAAAGCCTAAAGTATTTTTTTTACATCTCAATATCACAAATATTTTCCTATATTACAGTGTTTGATGTTTGACAAAGAAGAGACGTTGCACAGAAACAAGCACAAGCAAGTAAGGATTTTATGTCTATTGAAGATGCCTGAACTTCTGAATTTTAGTGTACTTCAGAGTCTTACTTAGATGTTTTTGATGATTAAGGTCCTATCCAAATCATAAGAACGTCAGCATAAGAATAGGGAGGTTTATTTGTTAGCATATGCATTAAGTAACTTTTTTCTTTTTATTAGTTATATTTTATTCCCTGTATTTGAATTAATTTTTTCGAGTATACATTAAGTTTTGTACCTAATTAAGGCTGTTTTGGTAGAGAGGGCATATTGCAGTTTCCCAAATTTTAATAAGATTCTTTTAACTGAATAATAAATGACATTTTTAAAAAGGAATTATTAGTAGACTTTGGTACAGCATTTTCTATGTGACTTCTGGGTCTTGTTTTCATTTTCAGTGTCTTTATTGTCTTTC